AGAATGTAACGAGAGTTCCACTACTATTCCTTTGTTAGTAGAGAAGAAGAAAGGGGAGTACCATTCGGTGCTCCCATTCAGCAGAATGTGACCTAATTCTGGGAAAACTGTGCATGAAAACGATTGCGAACAAGAAAGTGTTACATATCCATTACACATTGTCTCGGTGGGAGGGAGCAGACAACAGGAGACAATGTGGTATGTCAGCACCGCGAGCGGCGTAACCTCCAAGCAACCTTGCATAGAGGAATTTCAATAGAAAGTGACGATCCTTTTTTCTCGTGCTCGAGGTACCACTCGATCCTGCGCTAAATGCCCAGGAGAAGCCAGAACGAAAGGGGCGGCGCTGAGGGTTCTGGGTGCGTGATTTACTTGTCATTTCTGAGAAAGTGGGAGGTGGAAAGTGACTCATCCATCCTGAAGCTCCCCTCTCCACTAACCATAAATTGCAGTCCAGTATGCAGACCACTGGGCGATGACGAATTTTGCAGACTGGTTCCCTCCCCGCCGCCCCACTTCCCCGGGCACTTGGTGCGTAGATCCCTCCCACCTAATTGTATAGTGATGATGATGATGATTCGTTTTCAGTCAGGTTTCGAGGACGTCGATGCACTTGCCGGAACAGATAGGGTTGGAGAATCTCACATAACACTTAAAAAGGTAATTATGAGCAGGAAAACCGTTGCTACAAAAGAAATCGGTATTATTCTGAAATCTGCTCGTTTCAAAGAGGTACGATGGTGGAGAAAAGAGCGTCGATGTTCTTTGGCGGTTAGCTAGGGCCAGCATAGAGATCGCTGATATGCAAGCGGATCTTAACAAGAAGAAAGAGCACATCCGAGAAGGTATCAGCAACATTTTGTGTATTTCATATTCCAATTCGTCAGGGCATGGTAGCCCTGACGTAGTCTTAGGAAATTAGCTATAGCAAGTGGATTCACTATCACGAGTTGGCCTGGAGATCGGTACTCGGACAAGTCCCCTCGCCCTCGCCCTTTTCGGCCAGACTCCATCATTAGGGTCTGCCAATGGGACCGGCCAAGCAGATAGGCAGATAGATTGATAGAAGGACAGACAGAGACTGGACAGGGACCAGCAGACAATGATTCAGAGTGACGCATCGCAGGACAGACAGAGAGCCAAGCAGGCCTACAGAAAGAATGACAGAGAAAGGCAAACAGGCATTGGTCGAGAGAACAGACGAAAGAGGGTAACAGCGAAGGGTAGTCAAGAAGACAGACAAAGAGACATGCAGACATCGAAAGACAAAAGAAATGGAACAGACAGACAGACAGACAGACAGACAGACAGACAGACAAACAGACAGATGGAGAGCAACGCAGACCGACCGACCGACCGACAGACAGCCAGACAGGTCGGCAGACAGAGAGAAAGACAGAGAGGCAGACAGACAGAGGGTCAGACAGAGACGGACAGACAGAAAAGACGAGCAGAAAAGACCGACAGAACAGACAGACCAATATAGAGAAGACAGACAGACAGAGAGATGAGCAGAAGGCCAGACGACCCGACCGACCGCAGCCGAGCGAGCCGACCGACCGACCGACCCGACCGACCGACCGATCCGACCAATAACCAACCCACCAAGCCAACCAACTCAACAATCAGAGACGACCGACGCGACACTCGACGGATCAACCGACATTAACAACGACAGAGCAGGACAGTGAAACAGACAGACAGTTACAGAAAGACAGACAGACAGACAGAGAGACAGACAGACAGTACGGACAGACAAGTAGCGGATGAACCCGTACAAACAGGCAATAGGTACACCGCAGTCAGAGATGCAGATATTCGGTGGGATTCATGAAAGTCCGCTTGGGCTGCAGCGATCCCGTTGACGCAAGTAGACATTGAAGACCTTACGAATCTGAATGGAAAAATAGCGACTGTTTATCACAGGAATGATGAGTTGTGTGGCAAAGCGACCACGGCGGGACTCCAACCGCCATCTTCTCTACCGGGCAGTTGCGTTACCACTTACGCTACCGGGGCCACTTTTGACCTCTCAGCTCAATGGCTATTTGTGCCATTGCCTTCGAGCACTCACACGTTCAACGTGATGAGCCGGTTAGCCGATATCGGCAGTGAACCGCAAGGCTGAAGGCTTGCGTTACACTGCTGATATAGCTAACGTCTTCATGACGTGAACCTGTGAGTGTCGAAGGCAAGGCACAAAAGCCATTGTTGCTGAGAGCCGCAAAAGTCCCCGTTAGCGTAAGTGCGCTTAAGCAACTTGCCCGTAAGCAGAAGATGCGGGTTCGAGTCCCGCCCGTGGTCCGACTTTTGCCCACAACTCAGCATTCTTGTGATAACTTTCGTATCGCGCACTGCGGCGTAAAACAGCAGTTATCAACAATAACAGCGACTGTTTAATATATTCTGAAGTTGAGTGAGTAACACATCTCAGAAGGTATCAAGGGCGACGATCAATGCCCCCTCGCATTCTTGTGGACTTGAGCTTCACGGGTTGAGCTACCTGATAAACCGTGTAGCAATGCATGTTTAAGGCCATTCTGTACAATGATCCGCACGTATAGCCTCCCCGAAAGCGTGTGGTGTCTTTGAGAGTGTCTCCTAATAATAAGCGTCGCATCAGGTTGCGTTCATATCTGCGGCAGGGTACGCTGCCGCAAAGTATGAACGTAGCCTTATGGTTGCGACAGCGGCTACCCAATCGCCAACAATTGCCTAATCAAACCCTCTTTAGTGCATCTATCCATTACCGTTACGGACAGAGACAGTTCCAAATTCAATAGGATTTTCCTTGAGAGTTTTGTAGTTTTTGTAGCCAAAGCGTATGCTATGGAAGCGGTGCAGTTGGACGCGAACAGATGGGAGGCTTTAAGATGGGCAGCTGTAGCAACGGGGTACAACAGCGAGTTTCTGGCAGCTAAAGAGAAGATAATGGAATGTCAAAAGTCACTGGTACGTTATTGCGGTCGCTCCAAGCAGCTCTTCCAATTCCGTTTGAGAAAATTCGCCAGCAAGACTGAAAGTTGCAGGAATTTACACAGCAGGGACTGAAGCTGAAGCCTAACGATCATGTCCTACTCTACATAAAAGGCCGAGCACTGTTTCTGTTCTGTGGACTGAATTCAATAGAGAAAAGGGTACGGCACTTATGAAACGTGGCATTCCAGAGATGATCAGTTCACATTTCAGGCGATGGTGTCAGTATTCAAGACAACTGGCAACGAACCACCACCATCTATCAATAGAGCGCTCTCAATATTTCTTAAAGCATACTCCATTGAACCGAAATACCTTCCCAACCTCCTCTATCTCGGCCACTGTCATCTTTCTCTTGGAGATAAGGTGATTGGGTTTACACGACGACTTTCAACCCACAAATCTCTCACCAGGGCTGGTTTTCTTGTAAAGAGCAAGTGATTGGTGAAGTACAGTTGATATCGTTGCAAGTAAGGACGGTTTCAAGAGGGAGAGAAAGGGCCCACGTACGGCTTGTTGCACCAATGGCTGTTTCTCTCATGGTTGGGCCACTAACCGATCACCATAGGGGGAGCGAGGCAGCTAGAGGCGGGCTTGTTCTGCCCCCTCCCCCTTCCTCTTCCTCTGACACCGCCTCAATCCTGACTGCGACGTTGCCAACCACAGATTGCGAGGCCGCATTGTTTTACACAAGATTCAGTCACGTGCCTGGCTATCGAACGTTTGCATCTTTCGGGTGTCGTACTTTCGTGTGGGGAAACAAACTCGACCAAGTCCTTTAGGTCCCCATTTCTGGACTTGGCGCATAATGTCATGCTTAACAAATTCCTGCTATTCTGACTAACATTCAACACATGGCGTAACCCCGGGAAACAATACTCAATCCAAGATCCAAACGGTCAACCTTTCCCGAAGGCAAATGCTGCGGGGAGTTTCCACTATTCGACCCCCTCCTCTCTCCCCTCCCCTCAAATTTCTTTGGGAACGGATCTCGCAAAATTTCCTTAACTTCACGCCCGAAATGCGAATTTGCTAAACAATGATGGGGGTCAAATACCTACCATCAACTGTCAGAAATAGTAGTTTTTGGGAGCCTGCCGACTAAGAGGGACCTAGTGTTGATGAAAGATGGACAAGGCGCAGCATCAGAAAAAGTTTTCCGAATACGATCTCTCCCTCCCCCACCTAGCGAGCAAGTATAATCCTCGCTGGGACCCCTAATGCTTCACGTGCTCTCTTATCTATCTCCCCGCCCTGTGAAGCATTCATTTATGGAGAAACCAGAAAGTTTTTTGCGTAACCTGGCGGATGATGCCGTTCTGGGAACAGCCAAGATAACGTGTCCACAACCACGAGCAGTGCGCAGCTAGGCCAATCCCATTTCCGGGAGGTTATGCGGGTCGCTGTCGCTCATCCGCTGATGTGAGGAAGCGACATAGGAAAAGCATTGGTTACGAGGACAAAGGTTGGACCGGGATATGTACTCACTAGACGCCTAATCTGTCGACTGTGTAACACCCCCTCCCCACCTTGCGCTATGTAGACCGATAGCGGCCGGTTATCTCGCACTCACTGACGCGCCTGGTGCACTTGCTGGCTGCTAGAGCATGAGCAACAGAAACACAGCCTGAAAAAGGAAAACAAGGCAGAAGAATGATGAAGCTTAGTGGGCTTCGTAAAGGAGTCGAAGGTGAAAATGCCAGCAAGGCTAGTGGTAGGAAGAAGGAGGGAAGACCAGAACGGTAGCCCTCCCTATAATCCTGATGGTCTATGATAGCGTCTTTCAATTGCTTCAAAACACATCACTGTGTTAGGTACTAGTCTAGCAGGTGGTCGTGCTACACATAGAGGTGAGTACGAGCAGAGCATAAAAGCGTATGGCTTCTGCCGAATGTGGAAACTAGTACATTTTGATAATTACTTCGATTAGCAGCTGAAAGAGCTTACTGGAGGCAGACTTCATCCTCTCGCGTGACATATACTCTCTACTCTCTCTAGAGTCCCTTTGGAGAAATGTTAACATTTTCAGCGTGGGGGGGATGGCAGGGGGAGGGAGGGGATGGACGTCAGTGACAGAAAACCTTCCTTAGATTCCGTGAGTGGTTCGTAGAAAGTCCCCACTAAATGCTCTTCGTTTAGGAAGCAGCTAAGAGATACCTGAAGGAGGCGATCGATATGGAAGTACATGGCTGCGATACTGGAATACAAAAGGAATGTGCAGAACTGCTCAAACAATGTTAAAGAAATCGAAGCTAAATTCATGTCTCACTCTAAATCTGCTACATAAAATCAATAAAGGTGAAGACAGTATTGTTCCAGGGAACATTGAGTGAACGTAAACTCCCAAGAAACTTTGGTAGTACCACTGAACTCGTTAAAGCTCTGCTCTGAAATATTACTTTCCTCATCGCAGAAGAGGGGTGAAACCGCGCACCACAGCTTTCCGGTGTAGTAATACACATTTCGAAGGACTTCCCAGAAGTGCTCCTCGGAGCTTAAGGTGTAAAGGGATACATTTAAACAACCGAGGTAGAGTGCTAAACGGCTCCTACTGTCACCAGCGTGACTATTTCTAGCTTTCGGAGACACGAGTCCGTGAAGAGACGCCCAAAAGTGTGCGTAACGTCTACATTTTCCGCCGAACGTTTTGCAACAGACCGTTTGCGAGAAAATTATGCACTTCCAAGTAGTACTAGAGTTCAACGGAAGTCCAGTGCAGAGCTACAATCGCACACCGCGCAACCGTCGAAATAGGATAAGCACCTGAACAGCTACTGATGGAGTCGTATGAAAACCCTCTTCTGGGGGATCGTACTCTGACTGGCTTACCACAAGAGTCCCGAGATATAGGCAGATGTCTTGGCCGATGATGAGACCTCTAAGGAATTAGGCCCCTTTCCACGTTTCCGGCTTTGGCTTTAAAGGCACATTCCGCGATAAAATAAGGCTATGACCTCTCAAATGTGTCGGACGATCCGGAAGGCGATTTTTGAGGCTGCGCTACTTTCAAAATGTGAAAAACGGCAAGAACTCCGCTAGAAGCTGACTAATTAGGCCCATGGACACCCCTTAGGCCCATGCCGACCCTCACCGGCTGCTAGCTACTAGCTAGTAGCCACTATGTTATCTTCTCTATAACATTTCGGACTGCTTTTTCTGCTGCTTTTCTCCGCTAATCAGATACTTAGCACTTTTTTTGTGCCTATTCTGAGTTCCGTTTCTCGCAATTTGCGTCGCAAAACTGCCTTTAACGGGGCTTCTGTACCGATAGCCTTACACCATTCAGACGCCTCAAGGTGATGAGCCGGTTAGCTGATATTTTCTTTGTTTACAAGTCGCTCGGAGGGTGCTGCAGTAACTCTGCACCTAAAAGACGCTCGAGTAAATGGTAACCACCATACAAAGCGCAGATGGCGATTATGAACAAAGCATGATCGCTCTAAGCAGAAGAGCTTGCATGTGATTCCCTACTCAAAGGTACGCCTAGCGAATAAAGCGAAAGAATAGTGCTGAAAACCTCATCCCGAACATCCCCTATAGAGCCCATTGGTATAGAAGAGAAGGCTTGTCGGACGAGTTCTCATCTGTTGATGCCTATTCGATGAGAGGTCAGCCCGGGCAACGCAACTAACAGTAGTTATTCCGGGGCGGGCCAAAGTAGATGCCTCTTTGATCTAAATACGAACCCCAGGCGTAAGACCCAGGCCAAGTATACCAGGATTGGCGATTTTGTGATGAGCGAACTGGCACCTGTTGACCTTCATCAGTACAACTGAGTGTTGTAACGTGATATTGAGAACGTGTTGACCACTGTGAAAATCCTCATATGTATTAACCAGTCGGATCACCCGCGGCAAGAAAGTGTGCCTGGCTTGCCAGCACAACTTTTTCTTTAGGCGAGGTAGAGTGTGCAAAATACGCCAAACCGTCACAGTTCATTTTCCAGCAAAATGTAGAAAAATAGTTGAAAATAGCTCGAGCAATGGGTTAAAGTTGGATCAGCGAGTCGAAGTTGAAGTTGAACCGGCGCTATGATATTCGTGTCAAAGAGTTAGACGCACACGCACGGACATAGCCGATTATATATGGTAGGATTGTAACCGTTGTCCCAATGTAGCGCTGAAATCTATCCTTTGGTCCACTCTTTTCTCGGAGTTAGTACCAAAAATCTCCATAACCCTCACACGAAATTCAGCAACCTGTTAGAGCAGCCTTTGAAGCATCCTACCGCTTGATGCGTTCTCCACTACTGCAGGTTTCTTTTTCTGGAATGCACTCCCGCATTCGGGCAGTTTAACGCTTCGAATGGTCCTCTCTCAGATTGTTGATGAAAGATAGTCATAGACATAGTGATAAAGCCAGTTGCTGCAGTTCATGCCAACTGAGTAAACAACCGCCATGCTTCTGAACTCCAGTTGCTTTAGCGGCCGTACATGATGTCAATAACGATAAAGCCCAGGAGTGAGTTGTGTGCGAACTACTGGGAGCCTGATACCTGGATCATATCAATAGCATAGTGGATGTAAGCGGTGTTGAGGATTTCCGCATGATGAGGTTTTCATTTCTTTATCAGTCACTTCGTCTCACCCGTCAGTGGGTGTCCGCCCCTCTCCCCATAACACTTCTTGTAGCCAAGGTCCCACAGACCCTACAACCCGCCCTACGAATTCGGTGGCCCCTTACGATCTAAGGTCCTTATTCAATCTATCACGATGTTTTAGGTTTTGTCACCCGTCCCTCCTGTATACCATCTCGGAACCACGGTCTCAATTCAGCCGATGTTAGGAATTGGGTGACCCTCCGCGTCTAAGGTCCCCTTATCAAATCTTATCAGGTGTTATCAGCTTCTGTCACACACCAATGTCCACCCCCTTTCCCCTACACCACTTCTCGAAATCAATGTCCCACGGTTGCTGCAACCTGCGCTAAGAATTTGGTGACACCCGCGTCTAGGGTCCCTTATCGGATCTTATCAGATGTTATCAGCTCCTGTCAGCCCCCCATCTACGGCATATCACTGCCTTCAAGCAAGGTCCCGGCAGCTGCTGCAAACTTGTCCGAATTCGGGTCTCCCTTTCTAAGGGCCCCTTATCGAATCTTATCAGGTTATCACCTCCTGTCACCCACCAAAAGTGTTCCCGTCCTGCCGTGTATATCACTTCTTGAAATCACGGTCCCGCAGCTGCTGCAACTTGCGCTACGATTTCGGTCACCCTCCCCTTTTAGGCTCCTTATCGAATCTTATCAAGTGTTATCACCTCCTATCACCCACCAAAAGTGTTCCTGTCCCAACCCCTATATCATATCTTGGAATTAACTTCCTATTTACTAGGACAGGGTGGTATGAAATTTCCGTGACACACAAAACACACACACACACACGGACAGTTTTGTGTGTCGGTCTGTCGATTTGTATGTATGTGAGCATGTATCTTATGTTGAGCATGTATCTTTGTCCGTTAGAAAATTGCCTTCACACGATCGAAACATGGTAACTGGAAGAAGCAAAACGACGCTAGCCAAATCTAGGAAGGCACATGGGATAGGGCAGGCAAAGAAGCGGTTAGGCGCGGGCAGGGAAAGAATAGGGGTTGGCGAGGAAGGGGGTGAGCGGCGAACGGGAAGTGAGAGTTTACTGGGCTGCTCGAGTGACTGCTGAACGTGGTAAGCAGTTGGGATAAGGGTTAGGGAAGGTAGGAGAAGGCGAGACGAGCATGGAGGAAAACGATAGGGCGTGAAGTGAGGTGGTGGGGGGGCGAAGGCGAGCCACTGCCACAAGCTGCTCGCGCAGGTGCGCTAGACGTAAGCGCTTGGATGGATCAGGGTATGGAAGGGATTAAGGCACTGGGAGGGGTGGGGAGGGGGTGGGGGTACGATTGGGAAACATAGAGTGCGCCTTTCATGAGCACACTGCTACTTTATTGAAAGCGATTGGTAGGAGGAAGGAAGAACCTACCGCTAGCAGAGTTGCAAACCACTTCATATCGTGGTATCAATTCGGGGTAGTGTTTTGGATGTGATATCACCCTCTACTTTCAAACGTTGAGTTACTGTAAGAAAATGGAAATGTAACAACAGAAAATGTATAAGAATTTGCAATCTCTGTGCAACATGATTGAATGGATTGTATGGTAGTAGAAAATGTGAGCGCTGATGGTAGGTGTTTCGAGACAGGTAATGGAAGCGAGATTTGTATTCTGAGTAACTCACATTGCGCTGTGTTCTGTTTGACTGTACTTTCTATTATTTCATACAGGGGGGGCCAAAAAAAAGTCATTCCGGCCGAGTCACATATGAGCGAAGTTTTCGCAGCCCAGACAGAGGAAGTGGATATGAGTACCAGGGCGGAAGATACCCAAGATCTTCCTCTATAAGCAGGAGCCGGCTGCCGCCATTCACCTTCATGTACACCAAAATATGAAGTCATCTCCAGTCGCGGCCTGAGTGGAGAACGCCTTTGGAATTCACGTGGCCTCCAAACAGCTGCGGAACTTCTTGAATGGAATCACCCATGGATAGCTACCTGGAGACCAGTACTCTTGATCTGCAAGACCTCAAACATCGAGCAGCTCCGGCAACGTCGCTACGGTCCAGGATCATCTTCACCCCATTCACCAAGGCGCGGGTTGATGGTGTGGACCGGCCGTACCTGGAATGGATGAACCGATATTTTCTTCGTGGGCCCCAGACTGAGGGTGTGCGCTGGTGGCTACATCGAGCAACTCGAGGAGAATATCCCATCTTCATGTCGTCGCCCGTACCTTCTTGGAAACTTTGTACTGCTACAGGATTGGGTGACAACACATTTAATCGAAGGGCGTTGGAAAAACTTTCGCCTACTTGGAATGGAAGAACGTTGAGTACCTGGAAAAGATGGAGTATTTAAGCGGGGGTCCTGAACTAAACCCCCTCAATTACTCGGTTCGGGCGGAGCTCACAGGGGTGGTCTACAGTGGCGGAGAAATCAACGATCTCGCTCAACTCCGCGCTCAACATCACTTTCGCGCGGCCGAATCTCTCGATGGCGCTCCTCCAGAAGGCTGTGGCGGAGTATCATTATAGTATTTAATGTGCTCTTTAATATGGTAGTAAAAATGTCCGATAAAAATTTAATAAAGTGTAACTTATAGCGCCTTGGCAGTCATGGGCAAAATGACTTTTTTTTGGCCCCCCTGTATAGATTTATGTATGGTATGGGCGTTATAGCCCAGACCACCACCCCTCTGGAAACAAGCGAGATTCAGGATGACTTGGGCTTGCTTTATCTGTTACGATTCTTTCAATGCAGTGCAATATGATCAGCTCAGTGAATGACAAAATCCTCTCCGTGAAAGTACGCTTGGGAAGGCAGGTCAGGCCGCGAAGCCGGTGCTAACGCGAAAGCAGGAGAAGCTCGGCGTAAGCCGGGGCGATCCGACTGGTATATATATAAATGGAAAAGCAAGGTTCATTTAATAGCAATGGTTAGAAACAATAATTTAATGTACAGCAACAAACATACAAACAATCACAAGTTCATTTAAACGATTCAATAATTCTTTACACATTGGCCGAGGCGATAATGTCACGAATCTCCGACGCCTTGTAGATCTTGTCGATGTCCTAAATAGACAGTCCAAGAAGGGTGAAGTTATTGAAAATATAGAAAAAGAAAAAGAATCGTACTGAATAGAACACTATTGTGAAAATCCCGCTTTTTACAGCATGTCAATGCTTATAATAACCCTACAGGTCAAGGAGAGCATGGCGACGAGGAGAAATTCTGCCTCATTATGACCTCGCTCATTTCTTTCACCGTGAGCAACTCCCCAAACTCTCCAGCATTTGTCATCTAAAGAGAAGCGGGTAGTGGAAGGACGATTCCAATCGAAAATCGGACCTAATTTCATGAAAAAGGAGTCTTCGCTGTTCCTGTCTTTTCCAGTGATTTTTTCCCGTTGTGAATAGGCGATATACTCCCTCATCCTAAGTCGTAAATGACTCGAAAGTGGAAGGAGAAGAGGGGGAGGGCAGTTCGGCAACAGGGAAGGCAATTCGCCCTTTTGCTGCTTCGCTGGTTCCAGTTTACATATTTCACTCTGGTAAAACTTATGAACTCTTGTGAAGGTGGAGCAAGTCAGTAGAGCCATCGTGGTGGGACCTGCCAACTCTTGTGAACTCATGGAATAGATCTTCAGTTGGCTCGAGACGTCAAAAGTGCAAAATGCGCCTCCCCCTCCCCTCACTCCCTCTCCCGAACTGCGCTGGCAGAGATTATTCACAACTGTGTTGGTAAAGGCTAGCAAGCGGTAAGAACTTCATGAGACCGTCCCTCTCTCCAGCGACAAAATATCAGCTTTTTTTCCTCAACACACGTCTGACCCCGGTTCTCACCCATATTCGTGAGCTTGAGTGAATAAAATAATGACGAATTCATTAGCAGCTCACGGTAAGATCACTGATCCAAATCTTTGAACCATGTCCTCGTTTCTGTTTCTTCTGTGGTGGCCGAGTGATGCGATCCTTGGCTGCCAAGAAGAACATTTGCTCCATCTAAATATTATAAAAAAATAAGCAAATAAGTAGATACATATGAACCACGAGGACTGAAAAAAATTGTCAATGAGCAAGAGACTGCTGCGCGCGCCACAGTTGACAACTTACGAATTACCGCAGCACCCCAGGGGAGAGAATCAGCGGAACAACTGCACCACCAGGCAACTGTCAAACATGAGCTTCGGGCCTTGTGGCAGCTAGGTGGGCGGGGCGACACTTTCGTCTCTCATTCTCTCTTAATTTTAAGCCGTGAAATTAAAAGATCCTCTACTTGCAGGATAGACTAGACTACGGTATCAAAAGCGCATGAGAACATCAAATGAACGCGGACTCTGTCTTCCACCCACAAATCTCATTGCTGTGAGACGTGCCAACTGGTAAGGAGCTGCGAAACGTTACAAGTTAGACAGTTTGGTTACAATAATCACAGGTGGGCTGTACAGGCTTCGCTGAGATTCCCACGCACCAAGTCCGCCACCAAAGCCGAACACGTCGAAGAAAAAGTGCCCGTTATTTGCAGGTTTGTGGTGAAAACAGCTGATTCTAATAGAAACCGTTAAACAGTTGACAGCTGATGCGTCCATCTTAAGGGGCGGCGATTTTGGGAAGAAGGGACCAGCATGTTGCGGTTTGGTAAGGAGCTGTTGGAGCGTTCTCCGATAGAAAAGGCACCACGCTTACGTCCACATATTCCTTCCTGCTATTTCCCTATACGCCTTGTCGATTTGAATCCTGCAGGAGTTTCGCTCGAACCTGTCGTCTTTTCGCTGCGGATGAAGGGGCGTGTCTAGCGGGATCGGTTACCAGTAAGCGATAACAATTGGTGGAAAACGACTGATATGAAGGATATGGTACATTGTTGTCGCTTGGTCTCTTTTGCAACTGGTGGGAAACGGGTTTGGTGCGAGTGCCGTCCCACCAGATACGCCCCTGCATCCGCAGCGAACCACAATGTAATGTTTCCGATTCCAAGGCAAACACCGTCACTGTGGAGCGCGAGATGAAGAACCGACATAGAGGATCTAGTGCAGTTGATGATAAGCGTTTTGTGTGACACTGAGGAACCTAATGGCATCCTATCTCTGTATCTTTCAGAGAGAACTAATGGTGGCGCTGGAAGGGGCGGGAAGAACCACATCTGCTCATTGCACCAGCTCACGTGCACTCCATATGAGATGGGGATGGGTGGGCAACGTACTTTGAAACGCAACATGCCAACCCAGACGCCCACCGCAATTGCCCGCCCACAAATGGCCGTACAGTCCCAAGGACGACAGTGATCGCCTTGTTTATGGAGCACAATTGATATGAAGCATATGAATGGACATGTGAATACAGATGTGCAGCCCTACCTCCGGAAGCGGTCATCTGCACGATGCCAACGGGAAACTCGTCCAAAAATATTCGCCCACTGCCGTGCGGAGCCGAGCTTCTCGTAGGTTCTCGGCTGTTCAACTTCGCTTTTACGTCATTTTCCCCACTATGCAGCATCCCTGCTACTATTTCTGAGCAGGTAGTGCGCCCCTGTACCTTTGGAATAAAGACAGCTGTCACCCTGTCTTGCACTAGAGGAGTCCATCAATACTGTTCCAAAAAAGTTGTACCCCTCCTCCAGAAAGCGCACCGCTGTCACGTTGAAATGTCGGAAGCTACCACGCCCATCTAATTTCCGCGATATGGAGTGTGGTAAGTTGGTAGTCCACTGGAAAGCAAGTCGCTGACACACCAAAGGCGGTTGCAGAAGGGCGGAATAGCCCTAAACCACGTACCAAAGCAAGTCTAGGGATAATTGAAAAAGGCTAACCTTTTCAAAGGTGTTCTCTTTGTCCCATCCGAGCAACACATCGATATCGTGCGGATTGCGGATAAATCGATTCCGTTTATACATCTGCTTTCGCTTTTTTATCTGAAAAAACCAATTCTAGAAATCCCAATGCAACCTGGGCAGGTCTCTGGCTCTGGGGATGCGCACCTTTGGCTCAGCAGATTCATTCACAATTTCCTGAGTTTTCCGGCGGGTTGCGTATCTCTTCAGCTGTTTCTCGCCTTCTGGTTTCGGAGATGGACTTTCTTGCTTGCGAACATTTGTTGCGTTAGCAAGAGCCTTAAAGATAGCTCATTAGATATCTAAAGAAAAAATTAATGTCTGTGTTCCTAAGCAACTGCTGTAGGAGAGGAAATTGAGCGTAGCACACGCGTGCGGTCGCGACGCGTCCTCCGCTTGATTGATTGGACATAAGAATTCACATACAGTTGTACCA